ATTATTTATCATCATTATCCAAATTTTGAATATTTATCATCATTATCAAAACTTTGATTATTTATCATCATTATCCAAATTTTGAATATTTATCATCATTATCAAAACTTTGATTATTTATCATCATTATCCAAATTTTGAATATTTATCATCATTATCCAAATTTTGAATATTTATCATCATTATCATAGTCGATGAGCTTGTTATCGTGTCTTTGTAGATTGGTTTTGTTCACTGCAACGAATAAAATTACGTTTTCTCTTTTTTTTCCTTCAGGCAACTTTGTCATTATATACCAGTGTTCAGTACGGATGACATTGCTTCACCCGTTAAAAAGATATTTGAGGATAAGTTGCGGAACGAATTTTTGACCGCACTATAGTAAGAGTCATATTGTGTAAAGGGAAAGAGTAAACCAGACAAAGGCAACTGAGGGAAAGAAAAGAAGTAGGACCTACTTGTGACACCTTCCAACCACCACCCACGGTAAGTAGCCACAATAACAATCACATTTGTGAGGCAGCGTGGTGGAATCATGCTCTCGTCAAAATAATCAAAGTGAAGAAACTTGCATTTTTCCGCAAGTTAGTGGATTTTTATCGAATTTTTGTTTTTTGGCTCAACACCTTTCATGCCCATTAAAAACTCATTTCTGTGTGGATTTTCCTGAAAAACGTTGATTAAAGACACAAAAGATGTAAATTTTCAGTTACCACGAACTCTTAAGCTTAGGAAATAACGAATCTTTGGCGGCCAATTTCTCACTAATTTTACCTCTGAAAACAGGTGACCCCAACCTCCTTCATTCTCAAATATCTCAACTTGTATTTAAGATAAACGGATATATTTTCTTCCAAATAAAGACAAATGAACAAGCTTTAAGATGATACCAATAACTCTATGTGCCCAAAAATTGATGAGAGCCTGATTCCACCGTGCTGCCTCACATTTTAGTTTAGTTTTTTCACCACATTTGGCCAGGTACAGATTGCCTAACGAAAAACCTTTTGCCATTAAGTTTTTAGTTTTAGTAAGAGTTTTACGGCACTTGCAACACAATAAGGTCATAATATAAGTGCCGAAGAATAGATAGATATGTTATAAGAGAGTAACATACACAAAAAAGAAGAAGGAAAGATGAGGACGATAGATGTTTGATAGGAAAGAAGAAGTTAACCACACCAGAGCACATGCCAACCACCCACTATCATTAATAATAATTATAATATAAATAACAAACAAACAAACAGAACAAATGAAGTGAACAAACAAGCTCAGAACAGAGTAAGTGAAGTGGCAACTTAAGCTAGAGATAAGTTGGGAGGATAAAATCTGGGGACTTTTTTTTTCGATTTTAAAAAAAAGTTTAGCGCAAAGTATTCCTCTCAAGAAAAGAGTCCATTTTCTTTTTAAAATTATATTTCTTTATTTATAACGTTTCTGGACAATAAAAAAGAGAAACATTATATGATTATATCCACACAGATTAAACCATTGCACAGAAACAAAACACGCTTTCTTCCTTCCTCCACATTTCTTTGCAACAATGTCCTGTTCAAAATTTTTATTCTGACATAAAACAGGAATTATTTTCTCTTAATAATGAAAAAAGACATGAAAGAAAAGAAAAATGAAACCAAACAAGACAACAAAACAAAACAAATAAACAATAAGAAAGGACAAAAAAGTCGTGAGATGTACAAAGACTGATGTAGATTTATTTCATCCCTGTTCGATGGGGGTCCAAGCTTTCAGTCACAAGTATACAACACTCTTTCATTCCTGTAAAAAGTATATATCTATAAAATGAAGGGAAAAAATTCAACACACATGCAGTCAATGGATATAATGGTAGCTTTTCCGAACAAACATTTCATATCACAGGGAATATGGTCAACTAAATCTTATAATACTTACGATGCATTTTTAAAAAAACTGTATAAATAATGTACAACGGTGAAAAGCCCAACCCAACAAAGATGGATGTATTCGTTTTCAGCATAGAGAGGTGCATAGGCATTATTAACAAAGTTCAGGTAAAGCTTCCACAAAAAAAAAAAGAAAAGAAAAACAATCCATATATTTCAAAAGCAATTTAGCAGACACTATATGAGGGGTGGTTCCTTATTTCATTTTATTACTAAGGAATTTTTCATTCACAAAGACATCACTTTCCGGTGATCATGATTTATTGCTTGACGAATGTTTGCAACTTTCAATTCAAATAAAAATAGCTGGAAAAAAACAACAACAACAACCCAAAAAACCTCTGCTGTCAAAGGTGGCTGCTTCCTGCATATTCAATCACTTTGCCTTTCTCTCACAAGAAAACAGTCTAATCTCACGATAAAAAGTAGCAGGAGGATTACATTCATTAATTCATTCCATGCCTAAACTTTTTTAAAACCAACAACACACACAGAAACAGCTGTGAGGTGTGAGTGCCTTACATGTATCTCCTCTATGCAGGTTGGGCAGAAAGTGATGGGGGGAAAAAGAAGATGAATACACAAAATGAAACAGCTTGCTAGGTGACGTTGAGGGTCAATGGCAAGGCAGAGGGTGAAAGAGGCAAATGGCAAAGAGGTGAGAAAGAGGTCGGGTGACGTTGAGTTATCACAAGAGAAAAGAGAGGATGAGTAACAAGTTTGAAACAACTTGCGATCACCGTTCTGAAGGTGCAATTCTGCGCATCATTTTTCATTTTCTTGAAAACTTGAAAGAGCTACAAGATCTGACAACTGTTTATTTACTTACACTCGAACATACACTCATCTTGTTTACACATAACTTGAATGTTTGTGAAAGCAGGTACCAATGTTTCAAAAATGAAAATACCAAAGTTTCCGTTACAAAATTGGTGAAAGTTACGTATTCATTATAATAAAACCTAGAGCAGTGAGCATATACACCTTCAGAATTTGGTGAACAGAATCAGAACTTTTTCTGCATGACTCTATCCACAAGTTTTGGAGGATAAAAAACCCTTTCTGAGCTAGACAAAACAGAAAACTCCAGCACTTTAGGAGACAAAAATAATACAATAAACACAAAGGAGTCAGTCTAGAGTGAACTTACACAGATCAAAGTGTCTCATTGTTTTCCACAATATTGTGTTCAAACAATCAACAGCAAGGAATCTATTTTTTTTTGTCAAATAAACTGAGACTGAGGCTGTGGCTTCACTAAAAAAAGAGAACGAGGAAGAATTTAAAAAAGAGAGGGTTTTATTTTCTGTGAATTAAAGATCTATAAAAAGACTCCTTTGTATTTCCTGCAAGTTTTCCCCCCGGTCAGTCCGTGTCTAGGGGGCCACAGGGGGCTCGCTGGACACATCCCCGAAGATCTGCTGTAACAACGGCTCGTAGTGGACGTTGTTGATCTGGTTACTCGGCTTGTTGCCGCACCAGTCGTCGGCGCCACCTGTTGGCTGGTACTGCACGGGAGGCACGGGGAAGTCGCGCCAGTTCAGGGAGCGGACAAAATCTTCGTATTTCACCGCCTCGTTGTTGCTCTCTGCCGTTGGAGCGCTGGGAGAAAAAAAAGTTTTTAAAAAATATTGGGGTTTAATTTTTTGTCAGAATGTGATCACTTAACTCTTTAAGCCCTGAGTTTTTTCTACCATTTCCTGGAGTTTTTTCTACAGTCACCTAAACCTGGTGAACTATGTCTCATTATAACCCCAAAAGCTTGCCTCTAACTTCTAAAGAGCGGAATCAAAGGCTTAGTGATTACTAAAAAAACTTGGTTTGGGAATAGTTCCAAAAAACAAGCAAAATCTAGCACTAACAAAACGAAACAATTGTCAGTTGTAGTGGACGCGCCCAGCATCTGATGGGGTACAAAGAGTTAAAGACAGTTGGAGACAAACTAGGTCAGCAAACAGAACTGTATATCTAGGTTCCAATCACAGAAAATGTCTATTTTTTTTCATTACTCCAAGAATACTTAAAAGTTAAATGCTGAATCCTAATGAGTGCACAGGATATTCCATGAACACCCCGCCACCCCCCCTATCAGTATTTTCCCCAAAGATTTAGTACCAGAAGCATTGAATAAGAGAAATATTACTCAATCTCCAACATACAATAGTAGCAAAATAACCAGCACCTCTGGTGTAGCAGTTAGGCATTTTACTGCCACACACAGGAGACCAGTTCGATTCCTGAGATAAGGGAGAAATTTTTCTCTTTCGACTGAGATGTTGTACCTTTCTCACCCCGCGTTGGCCCTGAAAGGCAGGGTCAGAAGTCTGTCTCCAGAATATTCTAAATCGTGTTGATGGGCCCATAAAAACACCTACATTAACCATGTCAGACCGTACTCCCGGTATACCGAGAATACTCCAAACTTCAACTATGCCAGATTCCCGGTACACCAGTAATTGGGAGGTCGCGTCATATTTTTAAGCTGTTTACCACACGAATGGTACTTGAAAATCTATCCGAGTATTGGCATTAGCTCAAAAGTAGGTCTATTATAGATCTGTATTTCTACCAAGTTTCATGTGTTTCTGATAACTCGTTTTCCTGTTTTAACCACTTTCTGCACACTTTTGCTCAGAAGGCCAGGTATTGAGGGAAGTTAGGTTCAGGGCGTAAGATTTGACAGGGTTTTAAAAAAAGGGAAGTTAGGTTCGGGGCGTAAGATTTGACAGGGTTTTAAAAAAAGGGAAGTTAGGTTCAGGGCGTAAGGTTTGACAGAGTTTTAAAAAAAGGGAAGTTAGGTTCAGGGCGTAAGGTTTGACAGGATTTTAAAAAAAAGGGAAGTTAGGTTCAGGGCGTAAGGTTTGACAGGGTTTAAAAAAAAGGGAAGTTAGGTTCGGGGCGTAAGATTTGACATGGTTTTAAAAAAAGGGAAGTTAGGTTCAGGGCGTAAGTTTTGACAGGATTTTAAAAAAAGGGAAGTTAGGTTCAGGGCGTAAGGTTTGACAGGGTTTAAAAAAGCAACAAAGTCCAGCAACTGTTTGAGACAAAGTGACACTCACACAGACAGGGCAGCCCGGAGCATGTCGTCAGGCAATGGCACGTGCTGTGCCCCAAACTCCTTCCTGATGGTTTCTCTGTCCAGGAAGCCACAGCTGTGGACAGAACATTACATAGTTATACGTATAAGATCACGCTGATATGTACATCCAAAAACAAAGAAAGAAAGATATAAAAGAAGTTTTTTACCATCTAGAATAAGGCTTTTGTCAGAATGAGCACAGATGTGCGTTGCTCTTTAAGTATGTACCTATATATAACTCCAAAGGTCTAGTATTTAAATTCCTGCATGTGGTTGAATGATGTATTTGATGTAAATGTACATTTTGTCAGCTTTGCATCTCTTTCCATATTAAAGTTGAATGAGAGTAATATATAATTTAAATTTTTTATGTATACCTGTACATGTTTTTACGGTCCTGTACAGCCCAAAAAAATTTCCCTCTGGGATAATAAAGTATTATCTTATCTTATCTTATCTTATCTTATATAACTGAGACTCAGAGGGGAAAAGATTTTATAGTTAAACAAATATAACTCTGTGGACAACAGATTGCACTACAGTTCAATGAGTTGCTGTGTGGTCAAAAAAATTACATAGTTACATGCATAACTTTATGGCCAAAAGACTGCATAGTAATATATATATATATATATACATAACTCTGTGGGTAAAAGGTTGCATAGTTATACATTTAACTCATAAAAGACTAATGGGGCCTCAGTGCTCACAGGCTACAGAGAGCAGAACAGAACCAGAGGACATGTTCCCACAGACAGGAGAGAACAAATTGTGCTCACATCACCTTTTGCAGTTGTGAGTGCTTGATTACTTGATCCCTTAATCCTGGGAACAACATCATAGCACTCTGGGCATTGCCATACGTGCTCCGCTCCCCGCTCCAATATCTACCTCAGAGTCCATCTGCCGATCGTTCCAGTATTCATTTTATGTGTTAAGAGAGCTATAAAACACTAACATAAAAAAAAGAGAGAGAGAGAGAGAGAGAAGAACTACAGCAAAAGAAACCAACATCGCGGGCTCCTCTCCTCACCATGCTTTGTCCAGATGTCTGAACGCTGACACTAGCGTGCCGAAGCCCTCAAAGTTCCTCTTCCTCAGCTCCTCTTGCATGATAGCGATCAGTTTGCCCGAGTCCAGGACAACGTCGTTACGACGGTCGCTGTATTGTCTCGCCAGGGTCATGATCTGTAACATTCCAGACACATGTAGTGACATAGGCAGTAAAAAAGGGACGAGGGCGGGGAGGGGGAAAGAAAGAATGCTTCGGGACTTTTTAGGATTCAAAATAATATAGTACACCATGAGCATGTATTTAAAATTAAAAATTTTTTCTCAGTCTTATTGCTTGCTTAATAAATGTATCATAATGAATTGTTCTTAAATCAATCAAAGTACTTTTCTGCTATTGCCGAAAACAGGTCTCTTTTATCGGGAGTTCATTCATTAGTTGAAGAACTATCAAAATAGGTTGACTTGTTTTCATTTAATGACCCATTTAGTGACTTTTTTGTCATTTCTAGATTTATTGCCAAAACGGGGGCCCCGGCGTAGTGGGGTTTACCCTCCACGGAGATAAAGAGTTAATCTTAGCCGCCAGGTACAAAAGAGAGATGGTAAGAGTAAGAAAGTATAAAAGAAAGAGACGCACAAAAAGAGACACAATAAAAGAAAATATAAAGCAAACATTTGAGGATTCCTGTGAACTGCTCCACCTAGAGTCACGCTTCTACCTGAAAATTAGTCTTTCAATGTTCTGTTCTACAATGAACTACAATGTACAGCACTTCCTGTACTGAGCCTCGGAAGGCTGACCTACCTCCTGGTCTGACATGGTAGGCTCCACGTTGAGGACCATTTCCCGGAACTTCTCGTAGGGGATGTAGCCCGAGCCCGAGGGGTCCGTCTTGGCGAAGAACGCCCGCACGTCCTCCTTGTTGGAGCCCAGCTTGGCCGCTAGTCGCTGGACCACGCTGTTGATGTTTGACCTCACAAACTGCCGCAAAAAGACGCAATGTTTTGTTGCGTTACATTTCGAGAAAAGTATGATGAGGCAACGTTGATCGTTTAGTATTAGTAAGTATTTTACAGCATTTGCAATACAATAAAGTCATATAAGTGCCGAAGATTAGAGGTGTTACAAGAAAGTAACAAACACAAAAAAGAAGGAGGGGAGATAAAGACAATAGATGTTTGATAGGAAAGAAGAAGTTGATCGTTTACATGTGTTTTATCTTATCTTATTTTACAATGGGTAGAAAGTTTAGTTTCAGTAAGCTTTTTAGGGCATTTGCAACACAATTAGGTCATAGAAGTGCCTAAGATTAGAAGTGTTACAAAAAAGAAGCGAACACAAAAAAGGAGGAGAGATAAGGACAATAAATGTTTGATAGGAAAGAAGAAGCAAACCACACCAGAGCACCCACCAAACACCCACTGGGCAGAAAAGAAGACAAAAACTGACAGAAATGACAGATACATAAGAAAATAAATGAGACATTACAAAAGGATTACACAACTACTAGTCAAAAGCAGACCTTCCAGCTTCTTCTCTCTCTCTCTCTCTCTCTCTCTCTCTCTCTCTCTCTCTCTCTCTCTCTCTCTCTCTCCCTCTCTCTCTCTCTCTCTCTCTCTCTGTCTCTCTCTCTCTCTGTCTCTCTCTCTCTCTCTCTCTGTCTTTCTCTCTCTCTCTCTGTCTCTCTCTCTCTCTGCGAACACACAAAAACTCACGTGCACACACACAGGCACAAGCAAACACAATCCGGAATCAATCACTCACGGCCTGAGAGTTGTCCTCCATGAACTGGAAGGCGTACTCGTCCGCGTCGATGAGGATGAAGGCAAAGTTGTTGAAGCAGACGCGAGCGCCCACGAAAAGGTCCTGGGCCGAGTAGTACTCAGACAGCTCCGTGCTGTAGCGCTCTTGGTTGGGGATTTTCACGCGGCTACGCTCCAAGAATTTGCCCCCGATAATGCCTGTGAAAGATTTTGTTTTGTTGACATGATGAGCTCAGTGCTTGGATAGAAAGAAACTGGTTTATTTTTTTTTAGTAGAGGTTTTACGGCGCTCGCAACTGCATAAGGTCATATGAGCGACAATTGAAACTGGTTTATGTGAACGGCGAGCATTATGCCCCCTTACTTTTCTTTGTTTGTTTGTTTGTTTGAGAAAAGAGAGGCACATCGACACAAGAATGGTCATTTAGTGCTACGAAAAAGTAAGACAGACAGACAGAAGCAAAAGTGGGAGTGTAAAGAAGTAGGATCTACCAGCAGTGCCTCTAACCACCCGCACCTTCTCTACAAAGGAAAAAAACAAAGAATGAAAGAAAAAAATGAAAAGACAATATATTAAAAGTGCAAACAAGAAGGAAAGGTACAAAGGAGAGATTGTAAGAAAGTGTAAAAGAAAGAGAGGCACAAAAAGAGACATGATATAAGAGAATAGAAAGCAAACTTGTGCATTTGAGGATTCCTGTGAACTATTCCACCAAATAGTCACGCTTCTAGCTGAAAATTAGTTTTCTAACATTCTGTTCTAAAATGAGCTGAATTTGACTTTCAGTTAAAAGGAAGCACATCAACATTACAATGCACAACTTAAAGAGACAGACAGACAGACAGACAGACAGACAGACAGACAGACAGACAGACAGACAGACAGTAGGCAAACAAGTAGGACCTCCCAATGACTCCCTCCAACCATCGGCTCCGACTGAGGGGATTACAGAAAGAGGGGTTGGGTTATCTTGAGCACCTTCCAATGCTGTCATCTGAGCAAAGAGTTATGGCAGGATACCCAAGGAAAAACAAGTAAGAGAATACCGACTTCGTCAACCCCAAGATCTACACCTCGTCCTGTCCTCCATTTACAACCTATTTTCACTCATACTGTGATTTTCTGTCCCATGAAGACTAGTTTAAGCGCTCACTCAAACAAATCAATCAATATTTGACTGAATTATAGCCCTTTTAAGGTAACACCTTAGTGCTTGGGTGTGTAAAAGAGTGGAGTCCCTTGCTTACTGAAAGGGTTAAGAATCAAATCTTTTCAGCTATTTTCACAAAACCAACCTGAATTCCTGACTGGCGGCTCAAAGACCAGGATGGTATCGTCAGACAGGAAGTAGGAGATGATGAAGCGCCTGTCCATGTCGATGGGCTTCTTGGTGTCCATGCGCGCCAGGAAGCGGAGAACGTTGCTGTCAAGGCCGCGGCGGTCGCGCTCCATGAACTTGATGAAGTCCCGCTTGGGCGGCTTGGGCAGGAGCCCCTTGCAGGAGCACAGAGAGTCTTCCTCGCTGCCAAAGCCGTTGTACGGAGGCATCTGTCGGTTCTGCTGCGCCACTTCGTCTTGCTTGTTGCTCACGGTAGGCATCTCGTCTGAAAGGACACGAGGTACCATCAAAGATTGTCAAGCATTAGACTTTCAAGTCGTCTTTTTTTTAGTTTAGTTCTAGTAGAGGTTTTACAGCGCTCGCAACAGCATAAGGTCATACGAGCGCCAGAAGATTAGAGGTATTACAAGAGAGTAACAAACATAAAAAAGAAGGGGAGATAAGGACGATAGATGTTTGACAGGAAAGAAGAAGCAAACCACACCAGAGCACCCGCCAACCTCCCACTGTTGTCTTTTTCACATAATTCCACAACATAACACATTACACGACCCCAGGGTAACAAGGTTCTAATTCAGAATCTTCCACATTAAGAGTTGAAGTGTCTGCACTACCTCTATATCATATGGACGCATTTAAGGACAATCGGGCTAACCCAGATTTCAAGGGTTTCCAGAAATCTTGACCTACACCAAAAGTGGGCATTGCCCTACCTATAGGAAAAAGTTTGGTTTCATTTGTGTGTATATTTGTTTGGTTGTAGAGAAAACTCTCACTGTCTTTCAAAGAAACCGAACAAGGGGCAAAAACTTTACCTTCGCTTTTCTCAAAAGAGCATTTTTTGGGATAGTCCCCTTGTGCTTAAAAGTGACTGTATGCAAAAGTTACAACTTGACTTGTAAAGATAATTGATAAATAGGAAAGAAATAAGGCCTTTCAGCTGCACCCTCTGAACCCCAAGTGGCACGTCAGGTACGGTTTCAGTTTCAGCTTCAGGTAAGAGTTTTATGATGCTCGCAACTGCATAAGGTCATATGAGCTTGCAGTACTCAAGGTGATTGTTTTGCGAGTTAGTTAACAGCACAGCTTGGTTTTACTTTGCAAAATCAGAATTATTGAAGTAAAAAATTCAAGATCAAAATTTAGTAGTAAAAAACAACATTCATCAAGCCATTATAAAAAGGCAAGCTATTTAACGCATGGCATCTCTGAGGAAACCCCCACAAGCCAATAGACATCACCAGAGCTGTCTGATCATCTATTTGAGGGAAAAACTTGCTCATTCTTTGTTCTTAAAAGAGCTGATACGATAAACAAATGAAATAATGAACAGCTCAGATTTGTTTTTGTCGGGTTTTTTTGCTTTGTTTGTTTGAGTAAAGAGAAGCCCATTAACACAAAAATGGTCATTTAGTGCTGGGAATAAGTAAGACAGACGGACAGAAACAACAGGGAAAGTAAAGAAGCAGGACCAACAAGAGGCACTTTCAAACCACCCGCAGCTCAAGATTTTAGAAGCAGGTTGAAAAGCTATGAAACTGTACACATCAATCAAATACTGATGATGTTACAGAAAAAAACCCTGGAGAAAAACAAACAATACAGTAACTATCTAGAGTGTAAAAACAATAAAAAACAAACAAAACAGTAACTATCTAGTGTGTAAAAACAAAACCAAACAGTACCAGGCACTCACCAACTCCGTATTTGGTCTTGAAGTATTCCCGAGTGAAGTCGTCGCAGTCACAGATGATGAACCTCCGGCCCCAGACACTGATGACCGCGCCCGGCGTCAGGTCCTTGTCCGTGTAACATTCACCGTTGATGGCCCCGGTCTGAGGGCGAAGGTCAAAGAATGCTCGGATGAGTGGACATTTACTCAAACAACTGTGTTGAATGCTAGTGTAAAATTCTGTATACGAAAAAGATTATCTGAATTGTCCCACACACATCATCAACAGAAAATCCTTTCACCACCATTCGAAACCCCAACACGACACCACCAAAAGAAAAGCTGTGCATGATATCTCCCTTAGAAAACATTTGTACAATAACAGCAACAGAATAGAAAACCTTAGCGCAACAACAACAACAACAACAGAATAGAAAACCTTTGCGCAACAACAACAACAACAACAGAATAGAAAACCTTTGTACAACAACAACAACAACAACAACAAAATAGAAAACTTTGTACAACAACAACAACAGAATAGAAAGCTTTGTCAGGGATGCCAAATGATTTTTGAAAAAAACCCTGAAAATGAACGGAGCATCACATCTCACCTAAAACGAACCTTGTAAAGCTTTTAAATGAGCAAACAAAAACATATTCTCTCTTACCTCTAACCTTTCCTTTGGAAGTAAAAAAAAAAAACAGGAAAAAAACGGAAAAACCGGACATTTGGCATTCCTGCTTTGTACAAGAACAACAACAGAAAACTCCTGCACACCAACAACAGACCACCAACAATAGCATCAGTAGCATACCACCAACAGAACAACACCAATCCCCTACATACCACCAACACAACACCAACAATAAAACACCTCTAACAGAAAACCCCTGCACACCACAAAAGCGACACCACCAACAGAACACCCCTACACACCACCAAATCAACACCACCAACAGAACAACACCAATCCCTTACACACCACCAACAGAACAACACCAATCCCTTACACACCACCAACAGAACAACACCAATCCCCTACACACCACCAACAGAACAACACCAATCCCCTACACACCACCAACAGAACAACACCAATCCCCTACACACCACCAACAGAACACCATCAATAAAACACCTCCAACAAAACACCCCTACACACCACCAATCCCCCCCGCACAAACCTTGAGACTGTCCAGAATGTAGCGTCCACCGGCCCCTGTGGGACCAAAGACATTGAGCACTGTCCGGTCAGTGACCACCCCTGGTTGTTGGAGGCTGCCGGGGTCCTTGGGCAGTTTGCCACGGCGCAGGAAGACGGGAACAGCATCTCGGCCAGCATTAGGGGGAATCACCTGAGAGGGAAAGAAGTTTTGGATTATGATTGGTTGAGCTGTGAGTCTTCACCACAGCAACCCTTTTACAATAGCCATGAGATGTGGAATGATAGAATGATAAAAACAATTCTAATCTTCATTCATCTCACGGGAAGAAATTTGTCTCCATTGTTTACTATGGCAGCAGTGTTACAAAGATTATGTGCACTCATGCATACACTCAACAAAAACTAGAGTACACCATAAGCCAAGCTTTGATGAAGAGTTGAGCTTTGAGGAAGTCTTCATCGACCACCTCATGACACGTTTGTGTCTACAGAGCAAAGTTCTCTCACCTCTCTGATCTCGATGGTGTCATCGGCCAGGTAGTAGTGGAGGACCATCTCGCGCTTGTCGCCAAACATGTTGTCCGTGTCATCCCAGTAGCAGAAGAATCTCAGCACGTGCCGGTCGTGGTCCAGGAACTGCTTCAGGGTGTCGTACTTCTCGTACGGCCGCAACGGCTGCATCGACTCGTCCATCTGAAAAAAGGAAAGAGCTTGTAGAGTGGGTGAATCTTTGCTCAAAAAAATTCATTCATCCAATCATTGATTCATTCACATTTTTTTTTCGGTCACATCAATTCTTTTTTTTTTTTTAGTAGAGCCATAATGACTTTCAATCATGTGTGGCAAGGACAGAGTTTTAAATCATGACTGACTAAAAAGTTTAACAAAACTCTTCTCTTGAGATTTTGAGTACTTCTCACAAATAAAGCACCTTAATCAAGTCAATGAAATACAAGATGAAGCAGAAATGTATTCTTAACAATATCAACTTCATAGAAAACTGCAAAAAAAACTTACAGCTTTTCTGTAGTTCATGTAGGGGTCATTAGGCGGCACGTTTGGCCTCTGGACATTTGTACCCATTTTCCTCATGAAATTTTGTGTAAACTGATCACACTCCGTGATCTTGAATACTTTTGAGTACAGGTTAATCTCAGAGCCAATGTTGAAGTCTTCTGCTGTGTAGAACTCATCTTCATTAGGAGGTGGTCGAGGAATCCTGTGGCGGCGAATCAACGTGCCTAGAGAGAGAGAGAGAGAGAGAGAGAGAGGCAAAGAACGAGGTGATTTGAAAATGAGGTAGTAAATAAATACCGGAACATTTTTGGTCAGCCTGTGCATATCACATACAAGGAGAGATGACTGTATTTTACAAGGTAGAAGAATTTTGTGCAAATACATCGGTACATAATTGTAGGGAAATTTAAATATATAGTATCCCCATTTTACTTTCAAAATTCTCATTGTGCTTAAATTGTTACAGTTACAGTAAGATGTAGGAGAAAATATAGTACATACCCAATTTTGATCTTAAGAGCTATGGTCTAAATCCCCCTCGTAAATTTCAACACAGAAGTCTAAGAAGTGTAATTAATTTTTCCTTATGTTTAGGCTTCCTTTGAAAAAAATATATGGAAGTTCGTAAAATTATAATAAAACCCTTGCTGTGTTTCCACTTAGGATTCATGTATTCAGTTGTTACCTTGGGGAACTCCTGCATTTTTCAGTCTTGGCTCTAGAACTTGAATTGAGTCATCCTCGAGGTAGAAGTAAATCTTGCAGTTCCTGACCCTGTACTGTTCCTCTCTCTTCTCATGGACAGCTTCTTGGTAGTATGCATCAAAGCTGAGCACCTGCAAAAAAGGAATGAGTGAGGTCGTTGTGGAAAAATTAAACTTCAAAACAATAAAAACAAAAATCATTTATCAAAGACATCTGGGTGGGTGGTTGGCGGGTGCTCTGGTGTGGTTTGCTCCTTCTTTCCTATCAAACATCTATCGTCCTTATCTCCCCTTCTTCTTTTTTATGTTTGTTACTCTCTTGTAACACCTCTAATCTTCTGGCGCTCATATGACCTTATGCAGTTGCGAGCGCCGTAAAACTTCTACTAAAATAAAACAAAAGACATCTAAAAATCCGATCACTATTCCATTTTCCCAAAATTTTCTGCTTTTCTACACTCACACAAAGTCACTGATACAGAATAGCCTTCGTTGACTCGTAACCTCAAAGTACAAAGATGTGAGTGTGCATACAGGCAGGGGTGAAAAGTCTGCATAATCAAATAATCACTGCTTCCCTTCCATAATTTGGGACTTCGGGACATCAACGTAGTCAAACAGCGTATAAATTTAAATTAGGGCATCCATGAATTAAATCATCACTGAACCAGGAGCAAAAATAAATAGGGTGTTTCATTCACACATAAATACCCTCTCTTCTCCTTTTTGGTCTTTGTCATAAGCAGTCAAGAGCATTGATTATTAGTTAATAATCAGACTGGTTGAGTCTACCTAAAAATGGCATGAGTGGCTTACTCCAAATAGCTCCTGGCTGCAGTTCGTGTATCACTTTTTTTTTCCTCAACTTTTTATCGACTTATAATCAGCAGATATTGTCATGATTATGGCTTTGACTATCCGCCAGTTTTCTTCCCAAGCTACCTCACACATCTAATTGCCTCTACTCCTCAAGACAACAATTACAACAAACATGCAACTATTACCGAATGGCATCATGCAGAAGAGTTAACGCTCAGATGCTACTGGATCGCTAACAACAACAACAACAACAACTACCCGCCACATAAGGCTAGATTAGTTGTGTG